CTGCGAATTAAAGCTTTTTACAAATACTTTTTTATACTGGTCATCATTATGCTTGTAATTCAGCACCTGTATTTCATTTTTATAACTTTGAACTGTTTTGTTTTCATAGGTTCCACTATTTTTGAAATAGAATTTATATTGTATACAATTGCTTCAACTACCCTAATGATTTTCCTCTAATAGAAACTATTAGGAGAAAATATTTGGATATACAATGATTCAGTGGGTTGCTCAATTCGGAGCGCCGATGCTGAGGTTCTACTCCTTGCACTATCTATCCAAATCTATCCAAAATCTATCCAAAAATCCCAACGAGGCTGAGGGCTAACCTATACTTCAATCGCTTAAGGATTACCCCCTGTCATTTTTGATACTGATGCGATAAGCTAGCGAAGCCTAACCAGTAATGGTGAGGGCTCTTTAAAAAAACCATCCTTAATTATGAAGCGCCTACTCTACAAAAGAGAAGCGTTTCCAAGTTTCGATCTGTTGCTAAATCTTTTATTTTTAGAATAGCCTATGCAGAGGTGGGCAAGTCAAAATCAATGATTTTTTGCATATAAATTTTCGATGGCACCGAGAACGTTTTTAAAAATTGTCAGTTTGTTTCGCTGAGTTCTGTACATATTTTTCTGCACCTTTAACATATTCGCAATGACGGCGATAAAGATTTTACGTCATAAATAGATTCATTGAACAATGGGATTCATTGTTCAAATAATCCTTAGAATTGTTCCAGTCAAAAATTGATAAATATGATAGATCAGCAAAATAATTTTTTTTGTATTTTGGATCAAATAATTTACCCTTTTTGCTGTTTTCAAATTTCAAAATTTTCATGAAGAAAATAAACATCAATAAGACAAGTAGTATTTATGCATCATACAAATGAATTCATTTTGAGCCAAATGGTTCATTAGACTGTCTCTGGGGGTTTTATCCTAATTTACATTTATATTTTTGATAAGCCATTTTTTTGCACTGGAATTGCTCAAGTATATTTTCATCTTGCTCTGTCAAATCGATTATAAAAAAAGTTCATGAGATATTTAGAAATAAATTTAGAAATTTAAAAGTAAATAAATTAGGCATTTTAGCATCCATTGAAATCCATTTGAATTTCTGAAGCTAAATGGTGACTTTGCAGTTATCATCATTCCGCAAAGAACGATTCTTTCTTATTCTTGTTCCATCACTTTTTCAAAGAAATAGTACTAAATCTATTATTAAAAAATCTTGGAAACTCACCTGTATTTATATCTCTGGATGAATCATTGCCAAAATTGTCTTATTCTGCTAAAAGGCATTGGGATATAATTTGTCAAAACTGACGAGCATTAATCGTTAATTATCAGTATTTATCACTTTTTGCCAATCTAACCTCAATTTTAAATCATTCTCCTCTGGAGCCTAAAATTTTATTAAATTTTGGAAATTATTTCTTTATTTCTTGTTTCTTTATTTATGTGAGCGATCTGCAGCTTCATTGCACTTTTTTTTTGAATTGAGGAAAATTAAATTGTCCAAGCCTATGGAATGAAAAGGAATTTTATACGATCGCCAATTATTTCATTATATTTTCAAAAAATTCTAAAATATAAAATTTAAATATTTACTAAAGTTTTATTAAATTTCATTTTATTAAATTTTATTGAATTTGTAAATAATTTAATTTTCATATCGTAATTTTTCATAATTGATTTCACTGAAAATTTTTATTTTTTATTATGGCAGATAGTTTGATTGTTAAGGCATAGTAAAATTGATCTGTTTGGATTTAGTTTTTTATAAATATAAAATTTTCTTTCAAGAATCAGGAGGATATATTTCTTTTTCAACTCTTCCACCTTACATTTTCAACATATCTGACCAACTCTACTAATAGCCAAGATGACACGTTTCGAACTCTTCCGACCAGAAATTTCAGATCAAGTTAAATGGAGTTACTCCTTTTTATTTATCTAAGCGTATTAATTGCTGGAATCCTTTATATTGTATATAAATTTTTCTTGCCTTCTTTCGTTCTTTGTTGGATCTCTTATCGTTTGCTGCAGTTCCTTCTTTATATGCAGCGAGAGATACGCTTTCTAATTACGAATTGATCAAAGGATTTACTAGTGGGATTAAAGCGGTAAGCAAGATAGCTTTTCAGTGATATTTATTCTGAATGGATTAATTCGTTCATTAGTTTGTGGCATAAGAGAAGCAGTATAATTGCCCATCGGACTTGAATTATCCATTAAGTTATTAAATTTTTCCTTAGAATATCGATTATACGATTTAATTGCTTTTTGGTTGCCATTTTTAATGTTTTTATTGGACTTTGAATCGATGATTTTTCAATTACCAATTGATTTTAAATCATTTTCCCTTTATTTAATTATTTTTATTAAAATTTTTCTTCGATTGCTCTAATACTTGTGATGATTAACAATTTTTTACGAATCAAATAAAATCGAGAAACAGTAAGCTCAAATCATATTCGAAAACCAACGAGGGATCTGGAATGATCGTATGATATATTGTTCACCAATCATCGGAGATTTCTGATTCTTCTGATTTCTGATAAAAGTAATTCTGTCATTAAAGAAAGTTTGAACATTGAACATATCTTATTCAGCCTCCGTTGGAAGAGTCCGTACTAAATAGTCGTTCCTATCGTGGAAATAAAACAGGCAATCTTTATATCTCCGAGCCAAGATCCACATAAAATTGACAACTCGACATCCCCTAAGATCTTTCAACTATCTGAAAATTCTAAAAAATTCATGGACAGTGAGCGCATTTCAAACCAAATTATTGAAGCATCTCAATGGTGCAAATATCAATCATTTTTCTGGAACGGCAAATGAATATTGGTCCAAACTAAAGGAATGTCTTCGAAAGTCAGCCATTACCACGCTATGACATACTAGTAAAAAGTGCGCTAGTTGGGTATCGGAAGCAACTGTCCAGTTATCTGAAAAGGCTACTAAAGCTCGAATATTGAAAATGGAGCTGCTCGATTAGCTCGAAAATAGGCAACTAATCCGCTTTCTTCATAAAGCAATTATAAGCAATTATAATTCGGAGAACAATCAGTAAAATGTAAAATGGTAAGGCAATGGTGTGCATGTTAAGAGTATTAAGAATCGTCTCATAAGATAGAAGGAATTTTTTGAAGCCAAGCATAATCACGATATGCCGTTGCTCCAGACATAGCTAATTTGCTCGTCGAGTCATATATATGAACTGCGAAACGGAAGAGGATATGTATTACATAACCTTAAGGGGCGATAAGACCCCGGGAGAAGATGGTCTTCAATTCTTCAAATGTAATTATACTTTCAAACATACTTCCAGGTATGGAAAAAAGAAATATTAGACGACTACCGGAGCAAAGCAATTCTGCCCCCACTTCCCGAAAAAGGTGAGGTCTGCGACAATTATCGAGCAATCAGCCTGCTAGAAGTTTCAGCGAAAATTTTTGCTTCCCTTTTATTCAGTAGACTTATGGCAGTAGAGAATAGCAGGATGCTTTCTAACCAAGCTGGATTTAGATCTGGACGTGGTTATGCAGAATAGATATGAAGAATGTTGTAATATCATTTCAAATATCTGCAATCCACTGCCACCTGGTTCATAGATCTTGTAGCCTTCGGCACTTTGGAAGACGATTCAGCTTGGTTGGACGCATCCTGCTGTCTCGTATTATATCATAAGTTCATTGAATAGAAGGAAAGTAAAAATTTTCGCTGAAATATCTAGTAGGTTTTCCAGCGAATTGTCACAATATGCCCGCCACCTTCCTTGGGAATTGAGAACAGAATTGCTTTGACGTTTGGTATTATTTCTTTTTTCCATACCGAAAAATGGATTTGTTGAAGGTGTATTATGAAGACGATGGACAACAGACTTATCATGATTAAGCTTGGCCTCAAAAAATTTCTTCCATCATACGAGACCGTCATTAATAGTCTTAACACATTGTTATTATAGTTGTTTGCCGACTTTCCTTCAACCGCCAGCGGACCGAATTTTTTTCAGACATGGCAATCACTACGTTATTTCGCCCCGAGTTGTCTGAAGCACTACAGTGATATAGCCATCAGACTTAATTTTAATAATTATTCGAGACCCAAAGTGGGAAAGACTGACTTCCGACAAGTAGTTGATATCCACACGATCTTTAAAAAGAGTGTGAACAGTGCTCGCTTGTCACTTGCAACGTCCATAAGTGTTCTGACGTTCCACGCTGATATGGCTAACACTTCGCCGCGCGTGCAGAGAGCCTTGATAGGTTTCGAGCAATTGCTCTTGATTGCGAGCACAAGAAAGCTATGTCAAGAAAATCAGACCCTTTGCGGGTGGACTTACTGGTGAGTTCCCTGCAGCCACCTGGATTTTTGATAAGATGACGGATAGGTTTACTCCTGTCAAAGGCAAGATAAAATAGAAAAATTTTAAAAAAATAAAAATCGGATTAAAAAGAAGCTTGAAAAAAAAGAAAAAAATTTATCACCTGAGGTGTTGAAACGTATAAATTTTGAGAAATTTCCAGTGGCCAATAATCTTTACTTTTTTCATTTCTCTTAGCAGATCAGTTGGTAGACCCGACCGCTAACAGAAGGACAGATTTTCGAGTATGAATATTTTGGTTATCTTCACTGCACAACGACAAACGCTTGGAATTTATCCGGTCCTCTCCAATATTAATTGATAGCTCTCGAATGAGATTTCTTTTATTTAAATTTAATTAAGACTTATTTCAGCGAATTGGTGTGAATCAAGATATTTATTATGAAATTTTACTTTATATATTAGTTATTGGAGTTTTCTATGATGGAATTTATTTAAATGCCAAGCTGAGAAAATAATTTAACCATTTTCTTAAAAAAATTTAAATGGTATTCCAAATTTAAAAAATTAATTATTCTGCAATTTATTTTGTTACGCAATTTTTCTAAAGACTATTGAAGTAATTATCGTTGTTATTTACTGTTCACCTTCGGTAATGTGGCATGAAACGACAAAACATTCGGACGCTTTCTTTAATTATTTGTACTCTAACTTATCTTCTCGTTGGTGCTGCCGTTTTTGATGCACTTGAATCGGATAATGAAATGCAGCAGGTAAACATTATTCATCCATTTCATTCATTTAAATTTTAAATCTATTTTTCACGATTTTATGTTCCTTAACCCATAATTTCCTTTATTTTTAAATCTGTTTGCTTTATGACAGAGAGTTTTTCGATAATCTTTATTTGCAAAAATCTATTTCTACGACAAAATCCATCCTTTTCTAGGAATCTGAGAATATTGGTTTGCATTATTGGTCATTATTTCTACGACAAAATCCATCCTTTTCTAGGAATCTGAGAATATTGGTTTGCATCTAATTCTAAGCCTTCTTTCTTGAACTTTTGTTAAATTTAAGAATGATAAATGATTTAGTGGAATTTATATGCAATTGTAATTAAAATAATTACAATTCTGGCCAGTCATAACTATGTTATTGCGTAGGAGAGGAAGACGGAAACAAAAGTGGACTAGAAAGTGTTTTTCATTATTCGCCACAGCGACATAATTACCAAAAAACCAATAGTCAAAAAATTTAAAAATCCATTTGATCTATCTGATATTTGTCTAAATATAATCCAATTTTCTATTTTCCCAGTTTAAAAATGTTGGCAATCACTTTTGATTTGATTCAGAGGGCTTTGGTTTCGAAAGTTAAAAGTCGTTTGATGTCAAAGTACAATATCAGTGATGTTGATTACAATGTTCTTGAAGCAATAATTATCAAGTCGATACCACATAAAGCGGGTCACCAGTGGAAATTTAGTGGAGCTTTTTATTTTGCTACAACGGTTATCACAACAATTGGTGATTTATCTAATATAAAATTTTGATTCTGTTTCTAATATTAAATTTAAATTTATATTAAACTTTTTATTAAAAGAAATCTTATCTTTAAAATTCTAAAGGAAACTTATAGCTCCTTAGAAAAAATATTGAGAAAAATAATTTCAATAATTATCGCGAACATTAGAGAATCGAAGAAATATAGATGGCAGTTTTATTCTTTTCTGCCAGTGAAATATTCTATTCTATTTGTAAGCAGTTTGTGGGTCCAACTCTTCTTCTAACAATACCTTAGAAATTTGGTTGCTTCAATTATTAGTGGCATGCAAATGACATGGCATTTTGATCTCCGATACCATCGGAATAGTTGACCAACCATATAGTTCCAAAAAATTAAAATTTTTTTAAAATATTTCTATTGTCAAAGTATTTATATTTCAAATATTGTATATTACTGGTCAAAACTTGGAGTTAGCAAATTGAATTGTTGATGATCATAATAGCAGTATGGCTCACAAGTTATATTAATATTAAAGTAATGATAGAATTGAAGTCGCGTTTTCATTTTTTTAAATTTTATTTTAAAAATTGATTACGTGAAGCCTAACTAGAGCTAAAATATTTTCGATCGATTAAATTAGATGTTGAATGATGGTCGATGAAATTTTTGAGATTTCAGGTTATGGGCATAGCACGCCATTAACGATTGGAGGAAAAATTTTTTGTATGTTTTACGCATTAGCCGGAATTCCGCTTGGATTAGTGATGTTTCAAAGCATTGGTGAAAGGCAAAATTTTAAATCTAATATATTCAGGATTAATAAAATCATCGCAGTTTAATGCAATAATCTAACATTTAACTTACAGGTTAAATACCTTCGCTGCAATGATTTTGAGGAATTTCAAGCGTATTGTGGGAAAAACGCCAGAAGTAACGCATGTTGATCTCATTTTAGTTGCTTCAGGCTGCGGATCTTTACTTATTGCATCCGGTGCCTATATTTTCCATCTCTATGAAAAATGGACATATTTTGATAGCATGTATTATTGTTTTACAACTCTTACAACTATAGGTTAGTTATACATTTTTTATTCCTTGGAAATTTTTTAAAATCTTTTCATCGATTTTTGTCTTACAAAAAAAATTAAATTCATATTATCCATGAAAAAACGACCGAAATTGATGGTGAAGAAATTTTTTTTTTATTTTTTATATATTTATTTGTTAGTTTATTCCTTTAATCTATTCTTCTTTTCGGAACTTTTCTTCTAACATATCTTATATTTCGTTTCTCAATTCTAAAATTTGCTTTTGCTTCATTTAAATTTTTAATTTTTAATTGGAAGAAAAACTGTTGAATCAAAATTAAGAATAAATTTTGTCCTAATTTATGTAGTTTAAAAAAAAGTTTGCTAGTAAAATAAACACTTTTAAAATAAGAATTTGGGATCTCATGGAGGAGCTAAAAGTTAAGACTGTAATACAAAACAAGATTTAAATTAATTTTAATTTTATAAATTCTAAAAAAAAGATTTTTTAGGATTCGGTGACTTTGTGGCATTGCAAAAAGATGGCGCATTGCAAGAAACACCTGAATATGTAGCTTTCTCACTAATTTTCATTTTATTCGGCCTGACAGTTATTTCTGCAGCGATGAATCTTCTCGTCTTAAGGTTTCTTACGATGAATACAGAAGATGAAAAAAGAGATGAACAAGAAGCGAAGCTTGCAGCCAGAGGTTTCTTCTTCAGATATTAATAATGGATTTCTTTAATTTTTACGTTTTTCTATTTTTATCCATTCATATCATTTTTTCGATGATAAGATTGATAAAATGCATATTTTAAATGGGAAAGAAACAGGTTGGTTGAGTAGCATATCGCTTCGATTAAGTCAAGCCACCGTAGATTTCTTTTTTTCGAAGCGTTTTCATTAAAAAATGAATTTCGAGCTATGCTAAAGACTGCCTGAATGACTCTAGCAGAAGAACACTTCTTTCCTTAAATGATTCTCTGAAGGAAAGGTCTTGCCATAGTACTTAGTAGAATCAGTTGAATAAAAAATGGTCCATGCAATTAGAAGAAAAAGAGTAGTGATAGAAAATTCATAGCTACGTAAAATCTAAGTCGCTTATTTTAAGACTAATTAGAAACTATTAACATAAAAATTTCCGGCCTTTGTTTGCATGTTGTGTTCATCATTTTATTATTTAATCATATTGGCCATATAAACTTTTTGCTTTATGACCTGTGATCGTGACTAGTGATAATCAAACGAAAAATTTCCAGGCCTTATACGAGTCAACAATCTGAACCAACCAATTCAAGCAGACTCTCATTCATTGCTCCTTTCTAAGCCTTACAGTCCTGGTGAAGTTACTGATGAAGAAGTCTCCATTAACGGGTTCGATAATCAAAGGACGCCTTCTAAAGGCGATGATGATGCAACTTCTATTTGTTCTTGCTCATGTTATCAATTGCCTTATACAGAAATTAATTCCAAAAGAAGGTTTTTTTCACTTGGAATCAAAGAAATTTTTGACTTTAGTTATTAGTTATATAGTACTGTTGATAAATTTTATGTTCTCGAATTTTCAATGATGGTTCCGATTTTTGTTTCAGTTATTCGGTTAGAAACAGGCGTATCAGCTCAGTTGCTCATCTTGTCCATTCTGAATCACCCTCATCACCAGACCAACCGATACTTAGGCATCAAAACTCATTGAGAAGGAAAACCAGTGGTAATAAATGGCAAGATACATATTGCTAAATTATGAATTCATTTTTCATTCTATGATCACTTTAACATAATCTTTATTAGCTAATTTGAAAAAAATTTATTGCGTTTTGCCATATTGCAATATTCAGATATTCCGTTTTTTCACGATTCCGAGATTCTACGTTCCACGTTTTCGAAAGAAGTATGCCTCACAAGATCAAAATAATATATTAATTTGATTGGCCTATTTTATACTACGCATTGATTTGACTTTCATTTGTTATTTGAGAGCTAAAAATGATTGATGAATAAAAATGAATCTGAGAAAAATTTTAATTTATCGTCATATTTTGATATCAAAAATGTGCCATAAATATTCAGTCCGTTAAGCAGAAATGATGAGCCCTAACCATTTAGTTGCCGTTTGGTTTTATGGAAAGAAGCAAACAATAATGTTCATGAAAAACAAATTCAAGAATATTAATGGCATAAATAATTGGATTGGTTAAATTGAATGGCAAAAATCTGAAAATCTGAAATTTATTTTTCCAAATAAAAGTGATAAAAATGTATAATAAATTTTAGGAAGGCTAAAGGAGCAAAACGGCGAGAATAATATTTTTCATTAATTTCATGAAAACTATGATAAAAATCTATTTAAACTTATTACCAACTCTCAATTTTTGTAATTCTGCATTATAATTTAGTTTTATTCCCCAGAGGCATAGAAATTCGCTGTTATATCGTCCAAAAACAGAGAAATTGGTCATTTCTTTATAATTTTTTTGAATTTTTAGCGTGTTTAATGTTTTCCATGGCATTTGACATTTGTCGAAATGAAATAGTTACTAGCGAAAATTATTAGTTTTATTTAATTTGCCATAGCACAATATGAACGATAAGAAACTATTTTCTAAGCAAAAAGTAATTGGAGTTTTCGAGAATTTTTCTTCTAAAATCATGAGTTTAAATCGAGTTTGCTGAATTCCTGGAAATATCGCAAATCTTATCAAAAAGCATCGATGATCAAAGCGCATCCTTATTTTAGAATAGAATAACTTAGGTAATGAATAACTTTATGCTCAATTCATTTAATATTGCCTAAATCTTTTGAATTTAGATTTATACATTATGCAGTAATCAAGAATGCTAAGGAATGGCCTAAAGAAAGTGCTTTATTGCTCATAGCATCATCATAGTTCATAGTTCGGAAACCTTTAAAGAATACCATTATACCTACCATTATAATACCTACCTACCATTAAAAAGTATAGATGGTTCAAGAGGTTATCTACTGATGGTGCAATCCATGGAGGGCCTTGCCATGGTATTTCCACTGTTTGAACGTTTTCCAATGTTTGTACATGCCTTTAGACATTCTCTCAGCAGTTCATCCTTTGCTGCCATTTTTTTGAATGCATTCGTTCAAGATAATGTTTTTATGCTGACCAAGATCCACCCGCCTTCTTTCCGGCTGGTGTATAGCCTTTGAGTACTGAATTTGGAGTGGAAATTTCTGTGAGGAGTTTCCTGGTCTTTACATCAGCAACCTCTATTCATCTTCCTGCCATCCTGCCCCATTTCTTTAATCCGAATGACATCTCAATGTCTTCGCTATATATCCGGATATAAGATGGATGAGCGAGTCAATGTCTCGTTCATTGTTTTGCATATAAATTGTTATCACCCATGTAAAGAAGATGGCTGATGGTATTTCCGCTCTTGAATTTGTATCCATATCTGCTTCTCGTGATTATCAGACTAAGGGGATTTAGATCTATAGGGAACAATAGGAAAGAATGCGTTGTCTTATATATGCTGTACTCGATAGGCACCTATGCAAGCTATTTTGAGTTGGCTTCAAATGTTATTTTCTGCAATACCATTAAAGTTTTCAATTAATGTCTTTTATTGACGTGGAAAAGGGGTGGGTGCTTTCTTTTATCTGTGCGCAGACTGATTTTTTGATTTTTGAATCTTCAGCGACTCCCTTAAGTAGCTGGTGTTCGGAGCCTGTGGCCTGTGGTGTTCTCGGTGTTTTTCTGATTGTATTCACGGCCCATATGGTCACAAAATTTGATGGATATAATGCCTGATAGAACTTTCTATATTGTGGAAAGACAGGTTTGGCCGGCAGTTCGGTGTTGCACAAAGGTGGCCCATCTCCAACTGGGAGAGCAGTTTCATCTTTTTTACCTTGAAGCATTAAGCCACTAACTGTTTCTCAATTAGTGTAGATTAGTGTAGACGTTTAGTGTAGACGAGATCTTTTTCCCATCCACAGTACCTTCATACAACACCTTTGATTAGATCTACTATTATAGTACAATTCCATCAGTTCCAGATTATCTCGTCTCTTCCATGTAAAGTTTACTCTTTCAATTAGATCACTTTGGCCTTATAACAACTGTTCCAGTAGCCCACTTGTCATCAGATAGCCTTGGTTCCTCAACCTCTGACAGGGACCGTTTTAGCCCGGGCGATGTCCAAGCCGGCATGTCATTATCACACTGAGGTACAGCACATTAATAAAAGGATCTTGCACAAGGACCCCACTTGAAAAATAGACGCTTTTGGCTGGGAACCGAAATATTGTTATTTTTCATTCCTTGCCGATTTTTCATTGCTGGTCTTTAACCACTATACTAAACCTTCACAAGAATTTTTGTCTCATTTATTTCCTTGATCAGCGGTCATCTCTGTATTGTTTTTTATTTTTTTATTATATGTTCATCGGAATGAAAAACTGTTTATATATATATATATATCCGTATATATAAATAACAATATTTACAATACAATAACAATGTAAATTTTTTTTAGATATTTCCACCATTACTGGTTAAATTCGTTCTCTACTGACTTATCGCATTGGACAATATGCCATGGAGTCCCTTGGCGACAGAAATACAGATGACGGCATCACCTGGATTTGTTTACTCCCGCCGGGAATCGAACCTCATCACCAGCGCCCCCAATTGAACAACAAGCCACTGAGCCATTCTATCCCATTTGTATATATATATATATATATATATATATATATATAATATAATATATATAATATGTATAACTGTCTAAAAAATTTATCTGGCTTCGATAAGCCGACAAAGCAAACCTAAACAAAAATGGTTAAGTGCTGAAGAAAAAAAAAATATGCGATATGCATTAAATATTCATGTGCCACAAAATAAATAATACGAAATGATGTACCCAAAAAAGTAAATTTGTTCTCTGTGTGCCACCTATTAATCGCGACAAAATATTTCTATTTGAGCGATTTTTAATTTTAAATTAAAAAGGCTATAAAAATGAAATTCAATGAAGACAATGAAATGCACATTTATTCAGTCCACTTTTCCATCGTCGGTGCCAATGATTTAAACCGAAAAACATCAACTATCGTATTTTTCTTTACGCTTATAATTTTGGTTTAACTACCTCAATTTAAGGATCATAGAATTAAGAATATAAAATTTGCTGGCGTTCTTTACAGAATCGGCAACTGTATAAATCCATCGAGTTCTACTGGCTTGAAAATTCAAAAAATTTTGTTTTGATTTAAAGATTTTAGATTTTAAAGGCTTAATTTTTTATTAATTTTTAATTTTAATTATTACCTTTAGAAGAACTTATTTCAGTAATTTTCACCACTTTTCTTTTCTTCTGAAATTTCTCACTTTTTAAGCAATTATTGTGAATGTTGTATTTCAAAAAAAAATTGAAGCATAATGAAGCACCACTTCTAAATCTCCAAAATTTACTATGAGATCCAATCCAACAATTAAGAATGAGAGCAAAAAGGCATGAACCTTTATCATAAAAACCTAAAATAATTCCTTCTTCTATAAAACGATAGATGTTGCAGATAAATTTATTATTATTTTATTATTATTCATATAATGGAGAACATTTTTGAAAAAAATTTTTGAAAAACTTTGGCATCAATTATATAGTTGAGCTTTGACTGATATATTATTTATTCAGTTCAGTCTATATGGATTTTTGTTTTTATGGCATCAGTAATTTAAGCCACTCCATTTTCTTTTTCTCATTTTTCATATGTCTGTTTTAAACCTGAAAGAAGAGTGAATTATAAAAATATGATACTTTACTTCAAAAGTTGCTAATCTTATTCCTTTCACCATAATTTCCTTTCGCAATCTTATGGCTAAGCCATTTCATTTTTGCCATTCCAATTATATTTATGAATTATATAGCATTTTACCCCACAATCTGTACGAATTGTTTTGCTCTCTAATAATTTTTCATTTAAAAATAAGAATTCTTTTTCTTCGGGTCTGTATAAATGATTAGTTGAAGGAATTGGCTAAATTGGATGCTCGAATTTTTTTTTGAACGTTCATAAATAAGATTTCTTTATCATCGAAATTCTTTTTATTTCCTAGAAATGTATTTTAAATTATATACAAATTTTTTTAAATGTTACTTTATTCAAAACTATTTTATTATTAAGTCAAAGAAGGAAGATAAGCAAATGGGTTCAGATTATTATGTTGAGAAGCAAGGAATCGAATTTTTTTTCCAACAGAAATAAACTTACCATAAGGAAAAGTTTTACCATAAGTGAATAATTCTGGTGACCTACCTAAACTTTTATCGTCAAATGAAAATTGTCGAAAATTTTTAACAGTACTAATAGTGGACCCAGACTGATCACTTTTTGTGAATATTTACCTTCTTTACTTATCGCATCATCAATTAAAAGCAATTTTTTATTAATGAAAAATATGATTTTTTTCTTAATAGAATGGCTCAATTTTTCCGATGCAGAGGTATCCATAGATTTTTGTAAATTAATAGCAAAAAAATCATTTATAGAAACTGAGTTTTCGAGGATTCGAGTGAATTTATGGATTATATAATGAATGCTGATTTTTTAGCATTTTTAAGTTAAATTATAGGCCTAAACTATAATTATATTGATGAACGAAATAAGTCCATCCTTACATAGATTCGATTCCTATCCCTTAAAGTATATTTCATTAAAACTGAATTCGCGGTCCACTGGTGATGAAGACGACCTGTATTCTTTTCCTTAAATGTTCTATTCTATTCGGCAAAAAGTATCCTTTTAGCCATTGGAGACAAAGAACCAAATCAGAAATGATCAATGCTGTTAAAAGAAGAAATAGCAAATGACATTTGAATAAATCTCTTGGTTTAGATTTTTCATGATCCATTTCATTGTTTTTTACACGCTAACTAAATTTTAACTGAATTTTTAAATTTCTTTCATTAATTGCCTTTATTTAATGATTTTTTTGGTGACTGATGCACTGTAAGAATTATTATTTATAGAAAAGGCTGGAAAAAAATCGAAATGCACCATTTGGTATATTTCACCACTTTTGCCTTAATTTTTATGACGGCATGTAAATCAGTTAGTGTTTTCCTTTTTTTCATTTCATTTTACTCGCTACGGTCGTTTGAAAACAAAATTTAAATTTTTTTCTCGCAAAAAATTTCTGATCTTTTGAATACTTTTGCACTTATTCCATATATTAAATTTATGGTTAAATTTCATACTTAAATTCGCTCAAATACTTTAAATAGATTATCACCGTAAAATTTTTCAAACCATTTCGTCAATCATAAAATAATTAAAATGAAAAGATAAAATTTGCAAGCTTTTCTTCGATGCCATATATTGCTTTTTGCAGAATCAACAATTCTTGAAGTTTCTCGACGAAGATAAAACTATATTTCCGATTCAAGATGGATTTTTTGATGGTGGCTCAAAACGAAACCGAATGAATGGCGGTTGATTTTATTTACTATTATTGTTAAAAATGACTAATTGTAGATCAAAAGATGCTTTAAAAAGCATAAACTTAATTTAGAGCAGAAATTTTTTCAAATTTTTGGACTTGGTTCTTGGTTTTTATACAAATGTCTCCAATAAGTATTAAACGACTTAAAAAATTTTTAAAATGAAAGAATTGTTATGAAATGCATTATAAATGCATAAGTTAAAGCTAGACTGGATTAAATAGATTATCACCGTAAAATTTTTTAAAGAAATTCGGAAAAGTTTTCAATTTGATCTATTAATTTTACATAAATGAAATATCTGTAAAAGAATTTGTTAAATTTTTATAAATATATATAAAAAAAGCACCTGTAATCAGTATATATTTAAAATTTTGTATTTGCTGAAATAATCAACCATTGGTAGTAAGAGAAGGAAAAATAAATTGATATCAAAAATAAATGGCGCATATTAAAATATAATTATCGAAGTGATGAAGAAAAGTAAATAATTTATCGAATTAATCCTACTTTATACTGGATTATATTTTTTTGATGAAAATCAATTAAGTTGACCTAGCCATCAAAGACAGTTCTTGTTAGAAAATATTTCACATTGTAAAGTATTTATGACAAGGAATATGTGAATTTGAAAAAATTTTAGAAATTAAAAAGTTATTGCTTTTCATGGGAATAGGATGGCTTAGTGGATTTTTGCTCAAATCGGAGAGCCAATATTGAGGCTCCATTCCCCGCAGGGATAGACCTGTCCAAAAATCTGGGTGATGCTGGCAATTCACCTTCTATCGCCAAAAGACTCCCTGGCATATTTATTCAGTGCGACAAGCAGGGCGGAGCGAGTTTAACCAGTAATGGTGAGGACTCTTCAAAAAAGTGCAGAATACGAATGAGCACCACCCCCAGATTATTTAGTCGTATAATATAATTAAATTATAGGCGAATAATAAAATGAATTAGTCCATGTTAAATGAGGATCTTGAAGAATTTAAAGGATATCTATTACTGTAATAAGATCATAGGAAAATCTAATGGGTAACTAGAAGAAAATATTGATAATATGTAATTAAGATAATTCAATAACTAATTCAGGTTACGGATGGGAGCAGTGCGAATTTTCACCTTTGAGCTGTTTATTAAGACGACGCCGGAAACGTTTTTAATAAACAATGGATTCTGCTACATGGGGTTTTGAAACATTTTTAAAATATGGAATAATTCATGCAAATTTTTTTCGAATGAACCATTATTTTGAAGCTATGATATTTAGTTTCACACTTTTTTTAAAAAAATAAATTATTTTGGCTATTTGGAGAATCTCATTTTTCAAGAATAAATCGAATTGAAATGCTATCCGTAAAATATTTGTTTTTCAAATTTATTGAAGAAGTTACTGAATTTCAATGAAAATATGTAAAATTGCTTCAAATTTTTACTGAAAAATTTTGACTGAAGAGATTTAATTATGGGAAGAAAAAGCATATTAAATCTAGTTCAAAGTTCTATTCGCAAAGCACTATTACATAGATAATTTCATAGAATATAATATAATATGATCATCTAAAAACATAGGCAAAAATGCGTATGGTAACAACAATACATTTATTAATCTAAAAATTACAATAATTATTGTAAAATTATTCTCTTTTTAGTGGCCCATTAAAACTACTAAATTCCACCCATAAAATTGCTCAAGGAAATTCCATCCGATACATCAGAAGTTGGGCATAGGTATAAATGCTGAAGCCGACATCATTCTCGCTCTAGAGTGAAACGAATCTCTCGTAAAGTGGTTCGTATAAAAGTGAGTAGTACCATTTAAGTTTGGTTTTTTGCTTGAAAATAAAAACAAAAATCTAAGCCTTAATTTATTAAATGAATATTAAAGTGGTTAGTAGATAAATAAAGAATTATTTTTACAGATAAAGAAGTACTTTTGTATATTCACAAAAAGAGATGCGGAAATGCCGAGAAATTTATTTATTATTTGAACTGAAAGCTTTGAAGCAAATGCATTCGGCTTTTTTTTCTTCCATCGCCAATAGAAACAGCAATCTGGCACCTTAAATGAAAAGGCTTGCAGCACTGGATGAGCGATGGACGATGAGCGCCAATTCAAATCCACTTTTCATATCATGAGGTATATGGTTTTTCAAGAGAAGAAATGATCCAGTGGAAATTCTAAAGGATACAATCTAAAGGATCGGCATTGATTTGAAATTAGTTAAACAATATCCATTATAACTTTTCAATTGAGAATATCCTTAAAGATATATCAGAATATCCTTTTTTTGCCATTTTTCATTGACTTCTTAGAAATTTTTCCTCACGTCGAAGATTTTGTTCCTTATTTTTACTGATGATGATTAGAAATATGCCCATTATTGGATTAATCGGTTACAAAACGGATTAATATTTTTCTTTCTGAAAGCTCATTATCAATAAAAAAGTTTGGACAAATAGATGATAAAAATTTTGGCAAAATAAGGTATTCTTCGATGCTACTAATGAAATTCGATGAATAACAGAAAAGATAGCAGACAATAATAAAACAAGAGAGAAATTATTTATTAAAATATAATGCGCAAAAAAACAACTGGTTTAGAAAAAAATGGTTCATTTCAATTCATTATACCAATATATATTTCGAGTTCAAATTATGAATAAAGAAGGAGGTAAAGAAGAGATAAAATCTTGGAACAATGAAGCATTTCCATGAAATTACCAAACTCTGCATTTATGTCTTGGATTCATCGGCGAACCCAAAGGACAACTGTATGCAAGCGAGAAATCTTCGGAATTCGAAAGTGGTCCTTTTACTCTAAAACTTTTGTAAGTTTTAATGCGATCTATGGATGAATCTTGTTAAATTAATGACTATTAATTATATTAATTATATTATATAAATTACTTCTTTAATGCAAGAAAATCTCTCGAAGATATTTCAGAACATCCCTATTCTTCTTCAAAGATTTTGCATAATATTACTAGCTAAGGAAATAAAGAAAAAACAAATCTCACCTGATTGGCCCTGGCGAGTGCTCTGATGTTCGAAGTTTCCTAACTGCTTCTTTGTCATTCATTGTTCCACACCATATCTATAGTAATGAAAATAAAAAGTTTATAAGAGTCATAGAATTGAATTGCTACATTTAAAATAAAAAGTTTATGTGAAACATAAAACGTTTTACTATACTGCAGAATCTTTAAAAAAAAATCATCAAAAAGCTAATCTATCCATACTTGAGCATAATTAAGAAAAAAAAGTTGGTCATTAGTTAGATTAAGCCCAGGCAATCGCATTTTCTCTTCTCCATGAGTCGCTTCATATTTCTTATATGCTCGGTAAGCTTGCTTCAACCCGCCGTTATCGGCGATATTTTCACCCTGTAAAGAAACTATCGCTATATTACGAGCTCCACTGAGAACAAAACAATGCATATCCAATAGGACATTTGTTTTGCTTTATTTGATTTAATAGTTTAAGTAATAATTTTACAATTATTAGAGTTAGAGAGAATAAAAATGAAAAAATTATTCATTTTAAAAAAATTAAAATAAATTTAAAAAAATAAATGAGCTATATTAATTTATTTATATAGTTTATTAAGAGAAATAATTCAGCTGAAACCTTGGTACTTCTTCCATTAATTTTCATACTGATTTGGTCGAGAACATATGCTGAATACTGATCTTCGATGCACTGAGCTTTACTTTCAAATTTTTCGATTGTAACATTATCCCACCACTGACGAATATTGCCTCTTTTGTCATATAATCTTCCTGAAATTCTAAAATTGTCATTGTGCAAGCAAATAATTCCAAAATCCACAAGATTCGTAACTGATCTTATAGATCGTTAAAAGCTTTGAAAGCGTGCTTCGATCTTGATTTTGAATCGCAGTATGATACAGACAAATAAATATATTGTAAATAAAGTTCTACTTTAAGCTTTTCTAAAATAAGCTTTTCGTCACCAGGCTTTAGTAAAATGTTAGCGGTTAAATCATTTTTATTTAATTCATAAATAATTTATTGACTAAATGATCGCGATTGGCGCAATTATTTCTCAATTATTCATGAGTGAAAAAATCAATTTCTATTTTGATTTTTTAATTTTTAATTAAGTTAAAAGCAAAATTATGTTGATAAAATCTTAATTATGTTGATAAGGTGTGAATCATTATTACCACGATCATCAAATCCGTGAGTTATTTCATGACCAATCACAACTCCAATACCACCGAAATTCATTGCTCGCGGAAAAGATTTATCATAGAAAACTGGTTGTAAAATGCCGGCGGGAAAAACTAAATTATATGATATAAATAATATAATACGATAATATAAATACTAAGCAATCGAGTAATGATTGGTAAATATATGGCTGCAAATTTATATAAAGTTCAAAAAAAAAAATTTATTAAGCTTACTTATTTCATTGGTATTGGGGCTATAGAATGCATTAACGAGAGCTGCACCAGCAACCCATCTGAAATGACAATTTTACTGAAAAATGAAGTTCAAAAGGAATGCAAAGAAAGGAAAGTTGGATAAAAATTTACCCCTCCTTAATCTATTCTCGATACATATTTGAGAAATAACCCGTTTTCTTAAATATCTTTCTTCCTTACACAGTTTTTGTTAAATCTTTATTCTTTATGCTATCGAAAGAAATAAAATATATTTCAAAAAATACTAAAACCACAATAAAATTTGCTCACCTTTCGCGATCGACTTCCTGCACAATTCGACCAAGAATATCTTTTTGATACATTTCATAAAACTGGAATTTCGTTTTGTAATAATCACCATCAGTTACGGTGTATTCTTGATATTCTTCGTCAACTAGCGATGAATTGTTTAAATAATCCGGGTAACCAATTTTTCGGCTCATTTTTTCAACCTAGAACTATCTGATTACGAGATTTCTGGAAATTTTCTTTTCTTAATATTATATATTTTCCTTCGAAATAAATGCCAGAGGACTATGAAACCAGAAAAAATATTTATACTTATTGTTAGTTACAAATTTATATTCGATAGTATAAATTTTCTGAACAAATTCTAATTGAATAAATTATCAAAAATACCTTGCCTTTTGCCTTGCAAACGATTTCGTTGCTGAAGTAAGCCAGTCTTCAGTTTCAAGAATCTCCAAGAATGCTTCCATTATTAAATCAATCATTCCTTCAACCTAAATAAAATTGTTACATTTCAATAAATATAAATAAAGTAAATACAAATTCAATAAGTCAAATAAAGCGAGAAGGAAAATTTGATTTGTTTTATTTTACCTGTTTTTTGGCCTCATGGTCAAAATGATTCCGAATATAAATGCTTGAAGTGGCCATGGGCATCAGACTATTAATACGTGTTACACATCCATGCCATCGTAATTTAGGTACTTGCATCACTGTAAAAATATTCCTTCCTAGGTCTTTAAAGATATTAGTGAGATTTTTAAAACTTTTAAAAATTTTATGAGACTAGCAAAATTTAACTTCAGATATTTAATCTTAAAAAGTTTTTGCGAGAGCTTTGTGATAAACTCAAATTTTTTCCGTGATTATGGAACATATACTAAAAATGAATAAAATTTATGAATAGGATAGTGATAGGATAGCCTTTTTAGAAATAAGAATGTCAGACTATTTTGGTATAAAAATATTAGCCAGAAAAAACATAAGACATACGATTTAAACTTCGATAAAATTTAAACATCGTTAGCGCGAATGGATCAGGCAAATCCCTTAGCATTGCTTTAAAAAACCAGCACCATGATAAATAATTGATAACAACTCTGTCAAATCATTTCTCTTATTTTTATGAATGAAATATTTCTTCTATATCTATGGTACAAGAAGAAAAAAATATTTTTTTCTTTTTCAAAATTTCTAAAATTCTTCGTCGATAGCATCTTAAAAATCATTCATTTCTTTAATTTCCATTTTTCGAAAAAATAATTTTGCAAATGTCGATGGCTTAGTGGAAATGCCAATGAGAACCGAGAATGGTTCCGAGTTCGAATCTGGGTAACATCACGTTTCAGGCATCTTTATCACCGAATAATGAAAGAAAGCAAAAATATAGACAGAAATAAACCTGTCCTTCAAAAATCCGGATGATGCTGGCAATACTTCTATCGCCAAGTGATTAACTCCGTGGCTTAAAATTTGTCCGGTTTGACCAGTATATTGAGCCAGCAATGGTAAATGCTCGTAGATATTATAAAAAAAATTTTCAAATATTTTTCGAATAAGCTTGTTTTAGAAGAAAACTTATGACAAAAAGACAAGCCTTTTCTCATATTTCGGTAAGAGTTGATCAAGTCGATGCATAAAATCAAGACCATAAATGACAACAATGGTCGAATCATTAAATCTTATCGTATTACCTTCACGAGTCCGAATATCTCTGGAAAATAAAATAATTTTTCTTCTCATCATCCTTTGCTTGTTTCCTATTGCGGTTTGGCTTTTTCGTCCAGTGATGTTTTGGAAGTAAAAATTACTAAGATCATTTCACCACATCTAGTTAGTGCTACTGGTGCTTTCACTGCGTTTCCTGATGATCTCAGATGCTTGGCTTCCGAAATGTTGCTTTTCTTCTCAAATGCTCTTTTAAATTTTAAATTCTTAATGAATAATTAACTACAAGAGAAGTTAAATTTATTCATTTGTAAGTGAAAATGACAAAAAACTGACTTGAAAACAACATTAAAAAATTCAAGCCAATTAAAGTTTGGGAAATCTCTCCGCATTTTTCCAATTGTTAATTTGCTATAAAGTTCAGCAATATCATGCCTTTGATCATCAGCCATCGTTATCTGCATTAATTTGCGATTAAGAAATGGAACATGAATGTTAGCGATAATACTAACAGCTTTTTAGAGATCATTGCAAATATACTTACATTAGCTAAATCAGTTTCAAATCTTAAGATTTCATCTGAATCGCGATTTGATACTTCGAGTTGAGCATCAAGAAGCAATAAAACGTCTCTGACAAGTGTCATATATGCTAAGCGTTCTTCTTGGGTGTCAGAAAGAATATAAAAATCGCGAGCGAATAAATTTAATGCTGGTTGATCTATCTGCAATAAAATATTCTCATGAAACTTCGATAAACGATTTCGAAAGACTATATCATTCATACTTCTTAGCTCAAGACTAGATCTTATTCCTTGATGAGAATAGATCTATCATAAAAAATGAAATCCGGATTGTGCTGGACACTAGTACTTCTATCCCAAAATGTCTCGTTGGAAGAGTAAGGTAAAGCGAACCACATCACGAATGGTATTTGAAGAAAAAAATAATTCTTACCAAAAGCACATGCTGTGATGAATTTTTATCATCAGGTTGAACGGTCGCCTTAAAAAGTGAATCAGCCCTAAATTTCGCGACCATAACACCATATAAATATTCTATTGAAGTTCTTGGTTGGGCTTCTCTGGATTCTAAACTAGGCCAACCGCCAAAATCATTCACTGCATTATCGAAGGCTTTTCTCCATGTATTAAAAATTGCAGCTGAAAAACCATATCAATATGGGAAAAACTTTTTCGCAATTGACATCATTGTTTTTTGCTTTGTCTAGATAAATGTTAATGAATCAATGATATAACAAAAGCACACGATATTTATTACTAATACATATTTCTAAATAACTCAGGTATTGCTTCAACTGTATTTGAGAGTGGTGGTAACGATTCCATCATCCATCAAATTTTCTGATAATGATTCCATCATCAGCATGCCAAAGCATCTCTGGCAAAAGAGCTTATAGACCTAATAATCAACGAAGTTACTCAAATCAGAAATGACACCCGCCTGCTATTAGAAATAAGCTACCGTAATTACAAAAAGTGTCAAATTCAGCTGTGGAAAATTCTAACGAAATTCTAACGATAATTATACCCTTATTAATTATATTTTTTATTATAATTTTTGGCTTATATCATTTAACAAAAACATAAGATTCATATAACATTCATATAAAACATAACATAACATAACTGACTAACATTCATTCAGGCAAAGTTCGTAGAAACGTTTTGCTTTCATTACCGCTTTACCATCAACATTTTCAACATAATCTCCTTCAAGAAGTTCTAAAATATTCATCGTTACTGCAGCTCTGGATTAATTATGGGTTAATATTGAAAATTCTTGCCTCTCAAGTTTATTAGGAGAAAACGACTGAGCGGCTAGATTTTATTTGGGTATTCTTGAATTTGAATTTAGTGGTGATTAATTGATTTTGTTAAATCCACTATAATTCAGTTTTTTGCATAAATCCTATATGGGAGTAGAATTGGTGGTTGCTACTCTCATTGGTATACGCCACTGCTGAGCTTCAATTCCAGCAGGAGTAAGTTCACTTTTCAAGAGTCCGGGTGATACTGGCGACTCATCTCCACTTCTATCGAGAACAGTCTCCTTGGCAAAAATTTCTCTGGTCCGACAAACCAGCAAAGCGAGTCTAACTATAAATAGTGGGCGCTCTTGGAAAAAAAAACAAAAAATCCTATATACTCAAACAATATTTAAATATAGGAATAATTTCACCAAATCAGGGTACTCTTTGAATATTTATCGATCTATTAGTGTAAATTAACGTGAAACCTTTATAAATAAAACCTTTTAGAGCAAATTCGAGATCCTGGCCAAGATTTTCGAAATTTGACACCGATGGTGCATCATCAGGTATCGGATGTTGTTTGATCCACTTACCACAAGCAAATTCATAGAAATCATTACATGGATCAATATTTGCATTCATTGAAGATAAAATTACTGATGCTTAAAATAACTGAGAAATAATTTTTTTTAACAAACCACTTTTCGTTAAATTTTTTTCTGATGAGAAAAATGTAAATGTTCTGAGAAAGAATTTTGACTACAATTATGTTTAATCCCTTATCGCGATACACTACTATTTTACTGATATCTTGTTAATGAAATCCATTTTTTTTTCTAAATCACATATTGATTTCTAATTTGCACATATAAGACAAATTTTTCAGTATACTTTAGTATGCTCTGTTAGACTTATCTCCATTAGACTTAAAAATAATTGAACTAATAGAGAAGAATTTTCTTATTGAAGGATTTTTCAAGTTAATGGCACAAATAATTTCATTACACTATAAATAAATGTAAATCCGTGCTAAAAATTTAATTTGTATATCTTAGAAACAAATTTTTTCATTAAAGCTGAATAAATTAAAACGAAAAAAAATTCTTGAAAAAAAATTCTTGGATCTTTACCTGTTTTTATACATTCAGGAGACAAGCATGTATCGTTGGGTTTTCTGGATAAAATCATTATTAGTCCTATTAAAAGAAGTAAAGATAAAATAATAAAAAATATAAGAGCAATAAGTAAAAAACGTGATGGAATTCGTTTCCTCCGTACAAGTCCACCATCGGCTGGATCATTCATATTAAATCTAAATTAATGGTTTTTTTTTCAAAAATAACGTGAAAGAAAACATATTTATTAATAGAGATTTTAATCTTCTAAGATTAAAAATGAAGAATCAGATGTTTATTTTAGGATTTACCGTCTATCTATGCTTAATTTGGAATTCTAATGTTTATTCGAAATTATTATGGTGCACTCTCTGCTTTAGTATTTATAAGCTAATATTTTTATCTTTTGTCATTAATAAGATGTCATTGCCATGAAGCTTATATCCTTAAACAGCAGTAAATAGCAGTAAATTTCAATTTTAGCGAGCTGTTCTTTGCCAAAATTACCTGCTTTATACTTGATTTTCTGGAATTTTTCATAAAAAACATCCCAGCTTCTTTTATTATTCATGAAATCTCATATTTATAAAAGTTTTTACTCCGCTTTTTATGGAAACAATGATTGCATATTTTAAATTAAACTTAAGAGATGAACATAGAAAATTGTACTTCAATTTAATGAATAGTAATTGCTTGGAATAAAACCATTTCAAGTGAGGGAGACATTCAAGGATAAAAAATATAGATGGGTTGCAAGCATACAATCAATTGCTAAGTGCCTTTGCTAAATGGAGATAAATGCGAAAAATGCGAAAAATGTTTGATTTAGCAACAATAATTACACTTAGCATACATTTAATGAAAATGTGAATAAAAACGAGCCATGGAAAAAATAAAACTTATGGAATTCGACTTAAAAGTGGAATTTCCACGAATCGAAATTTTGCTTATTTCGAATTAAGAATTTACGTACCGTTTTATGATTTAAACAAAAGATGGTGCAGCTGGATTGATTTTCTATTCTATTCTAGAGTGTAAACTTTTTACACTCTTCTTTTTCAACAAAAAGAAATCCTTTAAGTGGTGAAACATGGAAAGGAAATGAAAACAGTCGGTTATGTTCTCTTTTAAATGGCCCTTATTTTTTTGCACCAGCATGGTAATTTTTTTCTACTTAGTCTTGTTAGATCAGATAGACAATTTTCCCAGAGAAGTAGCTGATAAAAAAAGATGGGAAATCTCGTCTACTTTTTTTTGAAGGTAGGTTTAATCCTGCTTGGACTAGTACTTCCGCATCTGCGTCAAATGGAAGCATCGAGCCATTGAGCTATTTTATTATTCAATACTGTGATAGTTCAATTGCAATGAGAAATAATGAATAAGGTATCGTTTCTTTAGCAAGTAAAAAAGCAAAACTGCTGCGAATATTTTTAAAATATAATTTAGCTCAGCTAGTTAATATTAATAATATTTCCCAAGTTTCAACTAATGTGATAAGTCTAAACAGGAACATACCAGACATATAACTGGTTGCTTCAAATGGTTCCAATTAAAGATAATTCTATAAAAGTGCATAGTGAGTCAAGAATGGCTAACAATGGCTAACCATCCATAAATTATTGTCATTAGTAATCTTTCGAATTTTTTATGAGGTTCAAGATTTTATGATTTTTGCACTTTTAGATATATTTTTCGCTTAAATCCTTTTTAAATTTGAAATTTTCAGTAAAAAAAACCAAACAGAATAAAAGCGAAGCCATAAAAAGTTCGTATTATTTTTGTAAGGGCAGGGTATCACATAGAAACAGAAATTCCTATATTGTCACTCGCTCCGCTGGTCAATTTTTGTTTTAAAAGTCAATTTCGCCCATAGAAGTAAATTGCCAGCATTACCAGAATTTTTTGACAAGTTTATTTTTATCACTGGTAGCAACCGAATTAACGATCTTATCCAATCAGTTACCCTGCTTTTGATATATAATACTTTATCTAAGAGCAGTCACCACCATCCACTGATTATCGCACCAGATAAATTTTTGCCAGGGAATCTCTTGTCGACAAAAGTGAACGCCCACATGGATTTTTGAGAGCTAGGCTTTCTAATGGTAGCAATAGAGCATCAGCATCAGTGCTCGGAAATGAGAATGACAATTTATTAAACCTTAGTTCTCCTTATACAAATATATGTTATGAATGAATTACCTTTTGAAAAATTCTTTATATGAATATTCAATACTTGAATTCGAAATAGAAACTTCTCCTCAAAATTCGAGGAATTCATTCTAGAATACGCTATTATAATTTTCTTACATAAGCTTTGTATAGGCTTAGATTACATGCTTTTTTTTCAATTTGAAAAACAACATTGGATCAATAATTTTTTAATAATTATTCAAAAATTTAATGTGCTGACAAGAAGAACGATATGTGGCTTTAAATAGCACTGACAAGATCAAATACTGTGATTTTTTCTTGAAATGAAATGAACTTGATTCATATCTTTTCAGTGAAGAGGAAAAACTTATAATTAGTGAATTCTGGCGAAGGGATTTTATTCTAGTAAACAATGGAACTTGCCAAACTAGAAATGATGGTAGCATTTTGAAAAAGAAGAATCATTTGCAGATACGACATTTGCAAAAAAAATGCAGACATCTGATTACAAACTATATTATCTTTAATAATTTTGTTAGAAAATTTGTAAGCCTTCATGAAGTTTTACTCGGGTCATTTAATTTAATTGCCACATTCACTTTTCATGTAAAAGAAATGAAGAAAAAATATGCTGCAAAAATCCAAACATCGAGCAATGGTTAATGGTTAGCAGTTTTGCACGAAAAAGTGAACTACAGGTTTAAAGCACATTACCATACCATACCAATAGCATACATTACCAATTTTTGCAAATTCCAATTTTCTAATTTCAGTTCGTTTTCTTTAATATTCTTTTCAGATCTATCCAGCTTCCATCCATCGAAGCATTTCATTAAAATTATTTCCAATTATTTTCATTATTTGCGAATTAAAAGAGCGCCATTTCAGCAAATAGAATTAAAAAAATCCAATTTCTATCCATAAATTTAATAATAAAACATAGGTTAATTATTTGAATTCTTTATAATCATCGATAATTGCCTGTCAATTATTTAATTAATGAAGATTTAAAAAACTTAGCATGGGACATAATTATGAAAAATCACCATTTGTTGTTTATAAGATTCACCAAAGAAGTCGGTGATAACAGGGCTTAATCAACAAAGTTTTCAAGAATCTCTGGTTTCAACTATTTTTTCAACTGACTTTAAATATCTATTTGATTGAAGCAATAATGATTCGTTGAGAATCCTTAATTCAAGAAATTTGGAAGATATGAGTGACGCGATTTTTGAATTTGCAATGATTTTAGCGAATCAATAATCACTTTCTGGCAATAATTATTCTCTCTACGATAATAATAAATGAATAAGGAATATTTTAGAGATTTTAATAATTATTTAACAATAAATCAAATATTTTGACTCAAAATAATTTAAGTAAAAATTTAAATTTAATTTAAATGTTTGAAATGTCTGAAATTTGGATATTTTAAGGATTTTCACTGATTAAGAAATTGGAACTTGGAGAAAATATAAATCTAGCAAGTCAATCGATTTCTTGTTGTTTTAAGTTTTATTATCTTACTAAATTCGCTAAAACGATCAAAAAATGTATTTTTTATCAGTTATTAACTGAAATAATGGGGAAATTTTGGCGAAGAAGGGATCAAAAGGTTAGCAATTCTTTTAAAAAAATTTAGAATCAATTCAAATCATAATTAGACGAAGCGGAATCAGAATTTTGCTTACAAGGAGAAATAATTGGTGAATCTTTTAATAACTACTTTAGCATTAATGTTTAAAATAATTACTGCCATATAGTGGATTTTAAGCCACAGATGCATATTTAAATACTGTGGTTTTGTGAAATAGGAAGGAAAGAAAAAAATTCTAAAATATTTTTTTTAAGATTATTTTCGCAAAAACTTTTTTAAAATTTTTAACTGTTTTAGAGAATCCTGGGAAGCAAAATGATGAAAAAATTTTCATAGTTCCATCACCAATTCGTTAATCTTTCATCGATTTTGGGGAAAAATTTCTTTGGAATAGAATATATGGAAGAGAATGAAAGAATTCTGGATAAAATGAGTAGAAAAAAAACTTAATTTGGTATTTCGCCATTAATTCATTGAATTTTACTTGCAATCATCCCCTTATTCAATTTTTTCATCCACTTAAAAATTAATTTTATTCTATCGAAAATTTGCTTGCATTCGTGGAAAAGTTTCTGAAACTGATTGTCAGGGTTTTCTAAGGCGAAATGAAACTAATGGACTAGTTGTTACTCCACTTGTATTCTTTGCATGATTATCCTAATAGCGAAGGCCATTTAGAATTTGAAATTATCGTTGCTAGAATTTTAAGCAGAATTAAATGATAATTCTAATAATAAATTCTAATAATAATTATTAAATGATAGTTTTAAGAAAAT